TGACAATTTAGACTTACAGAGAATAGGATGTTTCTATGAAAATAAAGAAAATAGGAACAGAATAAAGAATAATAAAAGAAAATATTCAAAAAAATATTAAAGAAAATCAAAAGAAGATGAAATTCACAATTAAATATATTGAAACTTTCAATTCCTCCCTTGACAGACTTCAAAATTACTGATAAAAATAATTTTTAATTTTTAATAATTTAATTTATTTAACATATGTTTTGCTTCAAACACTATTAAATAAATTAATATGAACAATTCAAAATTATTGTTTCAGTCAATTTCATAACTCTGCCTTGATATTGGAATCAAAAGATAACAAGATAAAAATATTGAATTCAATAGAAAAACAATAAAAAAAATATAAAAGAAAAATATGAGATAAATATAATTTTATTAAAAAAAAGTTAAAAAAATACAAGAATTCAAAATTTTATAATTATAATAATTGTTCTTTTTCTTCACAGCTGGGGGAAATTGCAGCCTTTTATAATGTTTTGATCAATTGTTGGTCGCTTCTAATCTAATTATTTGTTATACTTAAGATGATCATCAAAGAAAATTTTCATCTGTAAGAGAAAAAGTGAAATTACTTAAAATATCAGTAAGATAATTACTTTTAAGGTCTTAACAAAGTTGTTCCTTTAGTCTTTTTGCAAATAGTTGTTTAGAACCTCAAAGAAGCTTCGGAACATAGTTTTTGAGATGAGACGTTCTGAATTTGTTGTGCCGTTCTAAACTATATAGGTGTTTTGAGAATTCTTGAAGAAAAAAAAAAATATTATATAGAAAATATAGCTAAAACTAATAAATATTAATAAATGTTGATAATATATGCTAGTATCTATCAAAAGTTAATAAAATTTTCAAAAATTTTAGTAACAATATATTGAAATTTTTATATTATTTAAATAATTTTTTTTTAAGAGCTAAGTTATAATACATGCATATACTTTATTGTGAAATCACTTAAGATTACAATTTTTTACACATGAATAGTCTATTAACATATTGCTAATATTAACTAATACTACCTACACTTTTTATCAGAATACCAATTTATACCATGTAGGTGGAGTTCATATTCTAGTTTATGTTATATCTTTTTATTTGTAAATATAGGATAAGGAAAATTCTATCCAACAGTTGAAAAACCTTTCCAACAGTCATATTTTTGGCTTATAATCCTACTCTTTTCTAATTGGATCACCAATCCAGATTGCATCAACATTAAGTAGAATAGTAAGGACTACCTACAATATACAAAATCTGCCATGCCAGTTTGGAAAAGTTGGCTAATTGAATATAACTTTATTTAGAAAGCCATTCAACTTGAATAGGAGATAATGCTACAAAGTCTGTCATGCCAGTTGGGGTTGTGGGCTTATACTGGAGTTAGACCAAAAGCCTTTTCTCATGCAACCTTTTCTACTTTGACCTGTTTTTAGCTTATGATTGTCAAAAAGACCAAAGGTCTTATCTTTATGTAGCCTAACTATTTTTGAAATTGATTTTTGGCAAAAAAAAAACTCTTTTCCACTTTTCCCTTAGTGCTTGAAAATTTCCTTTTTAGGAAATTTTTGAGTTGTTTACTTTTCTTTGTCTTCTCCTTTCTCTTTCTCCCACTTCACTTTTTTCACTCTTGTTTATTTTGTAACAAATTTATAGACATTCAGAAAAAATCCTGATTTTCTTTGAAAAGTCAAATGACAACCTCTTAAACAATCTTAAGAAACTATAGGTATTTTTATGAGAGGAACATCTTTTATTAATGGCCGAAAGATATTGTCAATATCAATTTCTTAATAATCAAGGATTTAGATTTTTGGCCAAAGAACACTAATGATTAGACTAAAAACATATATCCGAAGTCACATGACATCCGCCGATCCCAAAGTTCCAGAGTGATGCGAAACCCGAAACTTATAATGATTATTAATTCAACATGATTTCTCTAATTAACATGTGTTATCAATTAGTAATTGATATCAAGGGGTTATAGGATATTATTAATGTATTTGATTAATATTATCATTTATTTATTATCTTATTTTATTTTCTTTTTCTTATTAATTCATATGATCTCCAGGAGAATTACTAAGATTATATGTATTTTATTATTTATGTATTTTATTTATTTATATTGGAAAAACATGTATTTAAAAGCTGTATTTTTCCTTTAATTATCTTTAAAGTTATCTGCTCCACTCTCCATTAATAAAGTTTTCCTTTAATAATGATAAACTATTAATGACTAACATGTTCCTTTACTTAAACCATTACAAAATGAATAAAAGTATATAACAATTCTCAAACTATCTACAGGATTAATAATTAATCTTTTCAAGAATAGTCTGGATTTATCAATAGATGATATCAAACTCTACAAAAAATCCAACACCATTCTGAAAAAGAATGATTCATACTTTTAATTTTTCCAAATTTGACAAGAACAGGTTATTTAAATAGAGTTCATAATCATAGTAAGACCAAAATAAGAAAAATTAAATTAAAAAGGTAAAAATTTAAACAATGAAATGTTGAAGAACAAGAGTTAATTTTTTTATAACAAATTATTGAAACACCTTGGTGGAAGAAGTAATTTATAAACCATACTGAAGTCCTTAAAAACTATTGGACAAGTTAAAGTATATACAACAGTATGATAAACTAAATTATTCTCTAAAATTGTTTTAATGAAAATTAAGAGAGTATTGTGTGTAAGGATAAGTTCCTAAACTATTTAGCATATAAAATTTTACAGATCAATTATGTCCCTTTTGAAGGAACATAATTATTTATTCATTATTTTAATAGGAATATAATTCAAAAAATACTTGGATCAAGTGGCCTAAATTGCAAAAAATCTTTGTAGATAGTTTTTTTTTGATCTTATATTTAAAAAAAAAACTTTTTTAATAGTGAGAGATATTTGAATTATGTCCTATCTTTAATTTAGAGACCCATCTTTAATTATGTGTCTTTTCTAATTGGATTTGTAATATAGTTTTCTTAAAATATAATTATTTTATATTTTACTTTAAAATTTTACTAGATATATTACAAATAGTAGTTATGCCTCTGTTGCTAAAATAATATAGACTAATTTTGTAATAACCACATATATATAAATATTTAATTCAATAAAATACCATACATATATATAAATAAAAGACATGAAATATTTCAAGATATTGGCAGGGACAACAGCATTAGGTATCTATCTATATATAAAAAGATTATTTTAGATTATGATGAAATTTTATTTCCTTGGATACAAGAAATAAGTAACTGAAATTATATTATCTAATTAATGCAATTACTTTAGAAAAATAATGACAATTGAACCTAAAGTCTTAAGCAATTGGAATAGAACTAATAAAGCTAGATGCTGAAACTATTCTTCTTTGTTATGGCCTTAAAAGTTGATAAAGAAAAAATCTTACCTCTCTTTCTCTTGAAAAGAATAGAAATATAATATTCTGATAGATAATTTGTTAAGTGTTGAGGAATCTTAATGAAAAAGTTTATAAATTTGAGGTTGGAAAATATAAAAAAGTTAGTTTATTAAAGAATTTTTTTTAGGAATCAATAGTGCTTGATAAGATTGATCAAGAAATACTGTTGCTTTTATTGATAATAAGCCATATGGTAGAATATAATTCTTGGTAATATTTAAATTATATTATAAATTTAAGTTAGTTAGTCTCTAGGTACATCAAGTATTAACAAGAAAATTAATATATATTTACTATAATTTAAATAAAGATGTAAACCATCCATTTAAAAAAGTTTAAGATATTTTTAATTAATTTTATTAAATAAAAAATTGAAATTTATTAGAAATTTTTAAAATTAATATTTTTAAACTTTGTGTTTATAAAATTTTAATCTATAAAATTTATTATATGTTTAAGTAAAAAATCATTTTATTTCTAATACAAGTTAAAATTTTTATAATTAAATTATTAAAATTACAATAATTAAAGTTATTCTTTATAAATAATTTTATAAAATTGTTTATTAATTATATAAACTTTAATTTAAAAAATTTTGTGTTTGTTCAAAACAAACTTTTATCAAAAAATTATTTTTAAAATTAAAAATTTTGCTTATAATCAAACTTTAAATTTTTATTAAATAAATAAAAATAAAAAAATACTTTGATTTATGGAATAACAATTTATTCAAATAAAGTTATTAGTTTACATAATATCAAATGTGCTATTAAACTTATTATGTTCTTTTATGAGTTTATAGGATTACTAATTTTTTAAAGTATTTTTTTATGGCTAATAATTTGTTTAATTATAAAAATTAAAAATATAATTTCATATGTTAAATTCAATTATTTTATTAAGCTATAATAAAGTTTAATTTAGATTTAATAATTTATTTAATTATAAAAATTAAAAATATAATTTGATATTTTATTTAATCATTAAATTCAATTGTTTTTTTAATAATATAAATGGTAACGATAACCAAATTATTGTTTAATTAATATTAAGCTTAAATAAATTATAGTTATAGTAAATAAATTACATATTATAAAAATTCAATATATACTGTAATTCAATAATTTATTTAATTACATAATTGTATCATAATGTCGTTAAATGTTTGGTATTAAAGCCGATAAATAAAAATAGACGTGCTACTTACAATAAGACTAATTTATCGGCATTTTGTTTTTTTGATTGCTAACAAGAAAAAAAAGTTTCGTTAAGTCTATAAAATTCTATATTTAGACCAATCCTTTTATAGGTTGACGTACTGATCAAAACAACATACGATTTTTTTAATTTGCTGAGTTTGATGCACGCTTTACTAAATTACTAAATTAACATACATCATCTATTGCTTTATAATCCTTTTTAATCGACAAAATAAATGCAGATTTTGATGTGCTTGGTGTCATGTGACATTGTGTTTTCATAGAAAAGGAGAACAAGTAAAGGGTGTTTTTTAAACTACGTATTAATTTACCAATGTTTCCTAACAGCAGTGGCGATTCGTCTAGCGTACAAGAGTCTGGTGATATTCTATTTGTCAAATCAGCAGACTTTCGTGAGGTTGTCCAATCAGCAATTCGAGCTGTCAAACAATATTGCGAAAAGCTTCCTAAAGGAGATGGAGATGAAACCTGGGATAAATTCATGAAAATATTCATCTGCGCAAGATTTGAAAACATTCTCTTGAACAACTATATGATCCAAGTAAGAAGGCAACTTTTCGAGGATCTCGGTTTCTTTGTGCCAAGAGAATTTACCGCATTTATCGATGTTCCTGATGCTCAACAATCTTTCGAACAAATTTTACGCAAAGCTGAAGAAGCACATTGGAACAGTTAGAATCACGATAATAATGTCACGTGCACAAAAATCCTTTGTTTTTTTTTCTTATTTTTCTTATTACTTTTTGCGATTCTCAATGCATTTTTTTACATTTTGCTAATAATGTTTGCAATTAGAGCATTTTTCTTATTCTCAAATTTGCGGTAATTTTTCTAAACGCATTATAGATAATTACATTTAGTGAAAAATCAATTTCAGAATTAAATACCTAAGTGCAAACACACATATCACTTTTGCTCGTATTGAAATTTAAAAGTTTTTTTTTAATTTAACCTTTTTTTAAATGACTCAAGATAGAAAAAAATATGATAAATACCGATTTTTTTAATGGTATTTTTTCTTAACGAAAAACATGCCTTTTCAAGAACAAACAAATCATTTGCAGTCAGATAATAATTTTGTCACGATGACAAAAAAACAAGTAAAAGACTTGGTGTTCTGGGTTAAAAGTTATTGCGACAGTTTAACCGAAAAAAAGAGAAGGCGAACGCACTTGGCAACAATTTTCCGAATCATTTATGTGCTTGAGGTGCAGCTATGAAGATGCGACAGAGATGTTTGCAAAAACCTAATCGAAGAAAGAAAGGTCATCGAATAATTCGATTTAGAAGTGCCTGAAGTGTCTTAAGAACACGCTTCATTTTGTAAAATTCTTAACGGACGAGAGATTTTCTTTCATAATACCGAACAGTCTATTAAACAAGCACACGTGATTTTAAAGAAGTAAATAGTCGGCAATCAAATTTATTCACGTTTCAACTTTATATAATTATAAAAGATAAGTTGACAATATAAACAAGGGTGTCTTAATATAATTGTTTCATTTTAGAACAAAAAAAGAAAATTTTGAAAACAATTTAAACGAGTAACAAAAAAAAAAAAACCGAAAAAAACGACTAAAAACCGAAAAATAAATCGAGTATAAATCTATGGTGTAAGATTGTTAAAGATAAGACGATACGTAATGAAGGGAATGTTATTCTATTTAGAACATAATTTAATCTCAATAGTCTTCTCCGAAATTGAAACAGCAAACAACCTCAACAAAGAAATTTGGATGACATCATTTGATATCTTCAAGGCCTTCGATTCAGTCGATCTACTCAACTTAGAGTTCACAATGAAATGTATAAAGATATCAAACCAAACCACTCAACTAATTCTCAACTTGCTTAGAAGAAAAAGAGAACTCAAAATTATCACTTATTGCAAACTCAGATCTTCTCTAATTAAACGATGGAATTGACCAAGGTATATTTTGATTATAAAAAAATATTACACTTCACAATTGACAATAAATTTATATTCTATTATCAAATTTCAAATATACAAGGTGTTGCAAAAAAATGGCAATTATATTTTTATTTGTAACTTAACAAAAATTATTTAAAAAAAATAAATTTAATATAATTAAATTGACATCTATAGAATAATTTTATTTAGAATCATTTTTTTAATTAATTTATAATTTAATTTGATATTTTAATTTTTAATAAAATTTTATATTGTACAGTCACCATATAAAGTAATACCCAATTTATATCCATAATTATGTTAAAAGTTACACATGTAATATTATTCATTTTTTAATATAAAATCATGAGTTATTTACTTTTTTAACTTTATCAACATCATATCACTCTATTGCATAAAAAAAATAACCACCACCCATATCTAATTAACTGATATTGATAAAGATAAAAATTTAGCTTTTATTGGGATTTTGAATATTATACAAATTGTGAAAGAAATCAAGTGAGATCCAACTACTGTATATCATTTTATTAAAAAATACAAAAAAATTGGTAATATTAAAAACTTGTCACATTCAGAAAGGCTGTCAATTCTAAATAAGCAAAAAAAACATACACTTGTTTTCGAAGCCACAAAAAAATGTCATTTACTATTATACAAAATAGTTGGCAAGTTAAAGCTTAACTGCAATTTAATAACTGTTAAAATTATATTATATAAAGCTGGATTTTATTTACATATTGTAGCTTTAAAGCCTTTTATCTCAAAAAAAAAATACAAAAGTTTATATGGAATAATATAAAAAATACAAAAATATGACAGTTCATAATTGGACTGAAATTATTTTTTTGAATGAATCTAATGTAAAAATAGGCAAACAGTTGTGACAAATAAGAGTTTGATAGCATATAAGTAAAATATTTAAAGCAGACTGTTTAACTTTTACCTTTAAAAATGGTCAAAAATCTGTAATGTAGGAATATTTTATAAAAAAATCCAAAAATCTCTTAATTTTTTGTGATGAGTATAAAAAAAAAAGAAAAAAAATTATATCAAATGTTTATGTTATTATTCTAAAAAAAAAATTATATATTTTTTATGTTTAATTATAAAAATAACTGGAAAAATATCAATATTTCAGCAGGATAATATGTTAATCCACATTGCAAAAATAATTTATTAATGGTTAGACAAGAAAAAAATTATAATTATAACTTAACTAGTCAACTTTCTAGATTTGAATCTAATAAAGAATAAATGAAAGTTGTTTAAAAATAAAATTCAAAATTATATAGATTTTCCAAAAATAGTAGATGAATTAAAATTAGTTTTAAAAGAAGAATAGAAAAAGCTTAATCTTTTTATTTTTGAAAATATTGTTGCCTCTATATTAGAGAAAATAAATGCTATAATAAAAGTACAAGAAAAAGCAATAAAATATTGATATATTATATAATATAAATTTCATATAAATTAAAAAAAATAAAAAAAAATAGTTATTACTTTATATAACAACTGTACCTTTTAATTTCTATTTAATTTTTGTTTAAAAAAAGGTAATATATAATAAAAGATTTTAAAAAGTAAAATAAAAGAACAAGATAAAAAAAAACTCTCTTCCAAACAAATCTGCATCTAAATAAAATTACCAAAAAGGAAACCAAAAAAATTTTTTCTTCAAAAAAAACCGTAAAGAATCCTGGAGGGTCTTCTTCATCCTCCAAGGGTCAACCCATTGAACCAACTTACACTTTACTTGATGTCCTCATCATCGATGTCGACAAATGCCTAGCCATAATCTTTTACAAAAACAACAGCACCAATATTGTATATACTACCTACCCCATTGCCAACACTTGCCTCCCAAAATTTGAAAACCCTCTTAAAGCATGGCTAACACCAGTATGTCTCCAAAAAAATGGTCACAAAGTCCTCAAAGTAATCTTAATCTCTTTTGAAGTATATAAGAAAAGACTCAGAAACCACTACACTGAAGTCAAAACCAATATTTTAATCCCTAGGTTGCTAGAAACAATAAACTTTTTCTTTGAATAGTGATATACCATTAGCCTATCCAATAATAACAAAGAAGGAATTATGAAGGCACTAATAAAAAAAAACTCACTTACAGGCTTCATATCTCTTGGGACAAAATTAATATCAATATTGACAAAGTAGCCAAAACTTTTTTCTTGGAGCGAAAAACTGAAATGCCCATACCTGTCCAAACACTTCTGCCCTAATTGGGGAAAGGATCAACGACAATAGCCTGCAGCTTGATTGTGAATCTGAAACAGCAAATACAACTATTCCTGAGCACATTGACAATCATTTCAGTCCATATACACCAACCAAAGATCATGAAACCCCTTTTGAACAAGACAACAATTACCAAAGCATATGTGAAACCAATACAGCCTAAACATCAACTGATGATATCACAATGCCTATTACACTCCTGAGCACAAACATCCCAACACAAACCAACTTCAATATGGAAATTGATGAATACCCTTCCCTTATCCAATCGGTCAAAACCTTGGAATCCCTCCTCAACTCATAGGCAGATGAAACTAATAAGTTTCTCAAACTCTTACAAGTTATAACACTTACTGCAAATAATATCAGAGATAATACACCTTCTAACGAGCAGGAAAAAATCCTAGAATTATGTGAAGAATTTAACAAATGTAACAGAACTCCTAAAGCCATAGTTGACCTGTTTCTAAAAATCAAAACTGATCCAACTGAGTCTTCTAGAACAATCCTAAAAGACATCTTCTCCAAAATAAAGCACAGGAACCATGACTTTTTTAGAACATTCACCAAGGATGAGCTGATTAAAATACAATACCAGAAAAAATGTGAGTCTATTGAGAAGAAATTTTATTTTAATTATCGCAAAGCTAGTAACCTGGGATATATCACAAGATCAATCAAAAACTAGATTAAAAAACTAATTAACAAAGCCCTTTTTATCACTTATCTTAGATCAACAGATTTCACTCTTCTCAAATACTGGCAAGTAGCTCAATTGTTAGAATATGACTTTAACTTCTTTGTGGACCCAACTTTGAAAAAAGTGGACAAACAGAAATTATATCAAACTTGTGAAGCAATAATTCAAAAAAACCTACCTGAACTTTCTGAGAACTCAAAAGATATCTCTATAACAATAATTGTCAAATTACTTAAAGCCATCCCAATAACAAAAGCCAGCGACACTAGTGAAGTTGCAAGTAGCCTTAGAGCCTTCTACAACTTTGATCTCTTACCTACCTCCTACTTTGCGAAAAGACCTAACCTTTCAGCTGATCTAATCGATCTTAATAATAAAACAAACCATCTGTTCCCACTTATAGAGAGATGTAAATTAGCAAACCTCAAATTTTATGTTGATAAACTAAGAGAATTCTATTACGTTTCAAGCAAACTTCCTGACTCTTACTTCATTTTTCCTTTACCAAAACTCCATCTTCCACTCACATACAAGGACTTACCTTTATATCTTGCTAAACACTTCTCCATGGACAACAGTATTAAAGATTTCAAGAAAGAAGTAAAACTTCTTAGAGATAACAACTACATTGTCAAGCACCTCCCACTCGACTATATCAAAGTGTAACAATCCTGTGCTGCGCCTGGGACCCTAACTGCGCCAAGAGACCCGGAGCGCCCCTGAGCGACCCAGATAATCTACAAGGCCGGGTATAGTTGTGTCAGACGCATACATGGTGCGATTC